ACAGAAAGGAGTCTATTAGCTACTAATAAAGAAATGGAGAGTAAAGAGCTTTTTCAGAAAACTTTGGACTTGACAGCAGTTTGGATGGTTCTTCACGCTTTGTGTTTTGCAACACATGCTTCGGAACTTTTATATTCCACAGCGGAGGAATCTAAACCAGGAACTATTGTTGGACACTTGACTAAAGATTTAGGAATGGATATACATATGATAGTTTTAAGACAGATGCGCATAATCTCGGAATCTAATGATAAATATTTTAACGTGGACCTGACATCTGGAGCTTTGGTGATCAAGGAAACAATGGACAGGGAGATTTTGTGTGGAGGACGTTTACATTGTCACATTCGGATCCAGATTTCTCTTCAAAATCCGTTGGAAATGCACAGCGTTTCGATTGAAATTGTGGATGTTAACGACAACGCGCCACAGTTCCAAAGCCAAAATACTTCTTTGGAAGTTTCAGAAGCGGCAGCTCCCGGCACGTCGTTCCGCCTAGAAAGTGCGCATGACCCGGACGTGGGAGTGAATTCACTGCGCGCTTATTATCTCAGTCAAAACGACTGTTTCATTCTAAAAATAGATACAAAAAGTGATGGCAGCAAAATCCCAATTTTAGTCCTAAACAAGCCTCTTGACAGAGAAAAGATGAGTGAATACCGATTAATTTTAACTGCAGTTGATGGTGGCAGTGCAGAGAAATCCGGCAATAGTGCTGTTTTTATAAATATTCTTGATGTCAACGACAATGCTCCACACTTTCTTAATCCTACTAAAAGAGTCACTCTTTTAGAAAATTCTCCGCATGGAACATTAGTCACACTTCTTAACGCCTCTGATGCCGATCATGGTCAAAATGGTGAGATATCTTACACTTTTGACAAATACACACCTGACAGTGTTCTGAAACTGTTCAGCGTGGATTCGGTGACAGGCGAAATTAGAGTTACGGGACTGATCGATCACGAGCTGGCGAAGGTGCATGACGTCACGGTCCTAGCAAGGGACAAAGGAATGCCCCCGATGGAGGGCTCGTGCAACATCAAAATCGAGATTATAGACGTGAACGATAACACACCTGAAATTAGCATTAACATGGTTTCTTCTGTAATATCTGAAGATGTGACTTTAGGCACTGTCATTGCACTTATTAAAGTTAAAGATGAAGACACAGGCAAAAATGGCGAAGTGAACCTGCACATTCCTTATGGGTTGCCTTTCAAGATCAGTTCGCCATATAAGGGCCTTTTCACTTTAATGGCCGATGGCCTTCTGGACAGAGAAGCTGTGGCTGAATACACCATCACTGTGACCGCCACAGACTCTGGTTCCCCGCCTCGCTCCTCGCAGAAATCTTTTGTGCTGTGTCTTTCAGATGTTAATGATAACCCCCCAGTCTTTTCACAGCCTTCCTACTCTGTGGACATAGCTGAAAACAATGCCCCAAATGCTCCCCTTCTGTCCGTGTCTGCCTCAGACCCAGATGTGGGTGAAAATTCCACCATTTCATTCTCAATTTTAGAGAGTGAGGCTCTTGGTTTGTCTGTTTCTTCATATGTATATATAAACCCAAATAGTGGGCAAATTTATGCTATCAGAAAGTTTGATTATGAACATCTGAATGCGTTTCAATTTGTAGTGCGGGTTCAGGATAGAGGAACTCCATCTCAAAGCTCTAATGCCACTGTGCACGTGTTTATTACGGATCAGAATGATCATCCTCCTATCCTTATTTACCCTGCACCCACATCCGATGGGACTCTACATTTTTTTATACCTAGAACTGCCAGTATCGGACACCTAGTAAATCGTATTACGTTTGTAGATGGTGATAGTGGTCACAATGCCTGGTTATTCTACAGCATCTTGGGGCCTGATGCTGAAATGTTTCACATAGATGCACATACTGGAGAGCTGCGTACTGCACAAAAACTTTCAGAAGAGGACAGCAAATCTGTCTTTAGCCTTAATGTGATTGTAAAGGATAACGGAAGGCCTTCTCGTTCTGCTAGTGTGGCAGTTAACATCACCCTGGCTGAAAAATCCTCAGACGTTTCTTCTGAACGCAGGAGCCTCACCTCCAAAACACCAACTGGATCTAACCTCACACTGTACCTTATAATCACATTATCTTTCATTATTGCTTTCTCTTTCCTGGCTATCATTGCTATAGCAGTACGCTGGCTCAGCCATCATGGTTATATGATCTGCCTCATGCAAAAACTTGGTTTTAAACACACACCTCGTGCGCACCAACATAATGACCTTCATCTGCAACTAAACACTGATGGTCCTATTAGATTCATGGAGGTCGTGGGGGCCACTCAGGATTTCCACAAACACGCGTATACTCCTGGTTTGTCCACCATCTCCAGTAGGAGTGATTTTGTGTTTGTTAAGGCCCCAGAGAGCACTCTAAGCATGCGACTGTCAAAAAGACTCTTCGCTCACTCACTTATGAAGGTGAGAGTTTCTGAAAATATTATAGGCTCCTGTTTTAACGTTTGGGGTTGGTATGATTTTTTAAAGCATTTAAAATATATATATATATATATTTTTTTTTTTTTTTCATTCATGTTCAACTGAAATTTATTTCTGTAATGCAAAGCTTAATTTTTAGCAGCTATTATTCCAGCGTTAAGTGGCACATAATCCTTCAGAAAATCACTTTAACAAATATTTCAAAACTCAGGATTCTTTGATAAATAAAAAGCTCAAAAGAATAAAATTTTTATCAAAATCATAAATTCATTTACAATCAAATCTGAACAGTTGAATGCATTCTTTATGAAGTATTACTATCATTCTGCCTTTTACTATTCCCAAACATTTCATGCATAGTGTGAACCATCCCTTACAAACTATATTGCATCTCTAAAAACACACGACTCAAGGTTCATGTGGATGTGCTCTAAATTTACATAATTTCTCAAAAACATTTCTAGTAAAATGGAAATCATGCTGTAGGTGTCTGTTAAGTACTACTGACACAATCACTATGACTCAGTTTTTGGACTAAGCACTCTGTAATGCCAAGTGGATTAGGAATCAGGCCATGGTCTATTTCCAAGTCTATGACACAGCAGAGGATTCAAACAAGAGAGTGTAAAAAAAAAAAACGTGAAAAGTATCTGCTCAGGGGTTCGTTTCCGAAATTCACTGTTAGCCAACTAAGATCTCAAGTGTCATTGTAACAAACATAGGCTAGTGTAACATGTAACATCACATTTGTTGATTTGGCCTTTTCTAAATCCATCGTTCCAATGAACATTCACAAACTGTGTGGCAAACTTGTACGTTTCCAACTACACCTCTAGAACTGTAGTTAGAAGCATAGTTCCTGGCAGTGTTCTATTCACAGTTATTCCCCCTATGCCCTATTTAATTTTGATTAATGTTATCTCTCTTAAGTGTAATTTGCTTTCAAAGTATTTTTACAGTTCAGTTTTAGCAATCTTCATATTGACAATCGCGCTCCCTTCCCATTGCACTTTGAAAACATTTATGCCATTTTGAACGCAGCCATGGCTCATTACAAAAACTATAGGTTACCTATTATTTAGAAGCGGAATTTACTTCACGTCTACAAAGCTTGTGAAAACAGAAATATATAGCATATTAATGCTTTCAATTTATAGTAAGTTATTTATTAAGAGATGTATTTGTACTGTAGGCCTATAAGACATCGGCCTGTTTTAAGAACATTTCTGAAGTGGTTTGAATGTGTCAAACTGTAAAAGTAGACTTACAAATAAATAAACACTAACCTACTTAATAATAATAATAATAATAATAATAATAATAATAATAATAATAATAATAATAATAACAACAATAATAAATTAATAATATTAACAATAATAATAATTATTATTAAGTAGGTTATTGTTTATTTTCTTAATAAATGGCCTTCTGTAAATTACAACCATTAGCCTACCGATTTATATGATTTATATATGAGATTAGAGTGTTAGCTAAGTGGTTTTTATATTTTAGGACAGAACATGACCTATTCTCAATAATATTTGTAAAGGAAACACTGGTCATATATGTGCTGTTTACATATATTTCAATTAATATGGAAAGCGAGTGCATGTTTTTATCAAAACTAATATTTGATTTTTTTTAAATGTGTGTGCGTGTAAAACAATATAATTTGCACAAAAAAGTATGGGTTTTTTCTCTAAAGAAGTTGTTACTCCACTCTGTTTAGAGCATCATTAAGGACATTTTATGTTATAACTGGCGTGGTTCAAACGATGGATCTGCGACAAAGCAGCTACGGTTTTGAGGAGCTCACCTCTAGATCGTTCTTTTCTCCAACGATGCATGGTGCTATGATAGTTCAGCCATTAGTTATGTCATTGTTTGGGAAACACACCCCAGGTTGGGTGAAGCTGCTTTTTGCTGTTGTTATCTTTTACAAATTTGAAGGAAGAAGTTTTGTGCATGTTATGCATTTCCAAATATAAATTGTCTTTTAGAGAATTATTATGGTGCAACATAACTGAAAGCTCTCTTGCAACAAAATGGCTCAACTCAGTGTGGAAGGATGCAGTGAAGTTGTGTTGTATGCTAAAGAAAAATAGAGGAAACAATTGAAAAGTTGGTGAAAAAACATTAGGCATAACACCCTCACAGGTAAGCTCATATTTAGCTTGATACACACTTGTGTGCATTCTTCTCATGTACATGCACTCACGTGTGACAGCAACATGATCAAAGTATCAATAATTCACACACACTCGTCTCAACTGATTTTCTACCCTATGTTCTTCCCTCTACTCCCCTTAACTTATTCATTTTGCACCAGTAAACAGTCCTGAGGGAAAGAAGAGGATCAAATTATACTCTGATGTCAATAACAGCAATTTGTGTTTCAGAACATCAATTTTCTATGACGGGAAGGAGGAACCTCTGCTTCAGAATGGAATACTAGTGCATATTAATCTCCCTGCCAATCAGCAATACTGACAAAACGTTTTTCTTCTTATTTTCAGCAAAAGCCACCTAATACTGACTGGCGATTTCCCCCAAACCAGAGGCCTGGACCCAGCGGGTGAGTGTGACATTCAATTACATGTCTTGCAAAACCTATAAATACATTTGAGATTATACACATGGTATTACGTTCCCTCTTTTGTAATAATTTTCATGCAATCTGTCTGTTTGGAATTTTTGTAAAATGATTGCATAATGATGGATCAAAATCAGAGATTATACCTAAATTATATGATTGCCTAGCTATTTAGTGGTTGAAAAGAAAGGAAAATAATATGAATTAAAATGCAAATTTTCCTTCGTTTAGTGTTTTCATTAATGTATTTCAGGGATCATACACATTTTTACTACAAAAATTCCATGATTTTTCCAAGACTTTCAAGTAAATTTTCATGACCTAACGTTTTATGCATGTCTAAAACCTCTCGTAAAACATGCAACAATCTATTTAGTTTCAATGTTTATCTATGTAAAATTGATTTAGATAATGCTTTACCGCACTAATAATGTGAGAGTATGTGATTGGCCAAGGACAGAAAAGAAGTAAAGACAACTAACCTATATTCAGACTTTTCCATGTCTGAATATAGGTTATTTTCATGACTTTTCCAAAAGTTTGAAGGTTTTTCTGTTTTTCTGAAACTTTTCCAGGCCTGGAAAATGCCATGTCAAAATTCCATGACTTTTCCAGGTTTTCCATGACTGTATGAATCCAGGTATTTAGTCTGTTATAGATAAAAAAAAATAATACTTTTAACAAAAATCAACAAATACCAAACTATTTGGGTTAAAATCTTAAAGTTTACTTATTTGTAAGTGTTTTCATCTCTACATATAATCTAAATTATTTTTAGGTATATTTTCAAATATATAGTATTTTAAATTTTATAATCCTGAATAATAATAATAATAATAATAATTAAAAAAAAATAATGCAATTGCAATAATATATGTAATTGCATTAAATATTAATGCAAGGAAAACAATGTGAGGGAAATCAAACAAAGTAAATTCTGCAAAAAAAAAGTATACCATGGGGGACTAAAAGGAGTGTGCAAAAAAAATCTTAAGAAAATCCTGCAATGAAAATTATTTAAAAGAAATCATGCAAAACATCCTCCAGCAAGTATATTAAGGCAGCACTAATCAGATAAAACCATCCAAAGGTTAACCAGCTACCTGCAAATGTCATTGTATCCACCTATTTTTAATGCACAAGCTGGTGCCTTACATTTCCAGTAATTTTACTTGTACAAACACTGTTATGCTATTAAATATTGCCAACTGCTATTTGTTATCATATTATTGTAATGTATACTCATATTTTTTATTTTTATTTTTTTTACTTGGTGTGAATACACTCACCGGCCACTTTATTAGGTACACCTTACTAGGACCCCTTTTGCCTTCAGAATTGCCTCAATCCTTCATGGCATATATTCAACATACTGGAAATTTGATTGAGTTCTGGTGACTGTGGAGGCTATTTGAGTAGAGTGAACTCATTGTCATGTGCAAGAAAACAGTCTGAGATAATTTGCGCTTTATGACATGGCGTGTTATCCTGCTGAAAGTAGCCATCAGAAAATCAGCAAAAATACTTAGGTAGGCTGTGGTGTTGATAAGATGCTCAATTGGTACTAATGGGCCCAAAGTGGGCCTAGAAAATATCTCCCACACCAATACACTACCACCACTATTCTAAACCATTGAGTGGACAGGTGTACCAAATAAAGTGGCCGTTGAGTGTACAATTTTACACCAATAAAAAAACTAAATAATTCCAAGTGTGTATTTTCATAATCATAAATACAATCGCTTGTTGTATAAAAAAGTTTTTACTCACTTTGTTAATCTACAATACATTTACTATACATTGTCTATAGTGGCTGATGAGTCAGAAGTCTCACTCATAAAAAAAACACTTACTTACTCGCTGCAAAATAAGGTTTGACCTCAGAGGAAACCCATCCATGTGCTCTGGTCAGTCTGGTCTTGTCCTCAGTGGACGCAGGGTTATTGAGTGACAGCTGCATGCTCCTGTGCTTATGTTTCAGCCAACACAGGTTCCACACCCTGCAGCAGAGATGGACTCCATACGAGAAGTCCAGGTAGAGTGAAGGCGAAGTGAAGGCTAGTGTGTGGTAGCGTTTGGCTTCACCTGGCGTAGCCTTCTAGTGGAATGTTGTGTTTAGGTCGTTCAGATTATGTGTCCCGCAGCTTCCAGCGACATGCTGTCCAGTCTGTTCCTACACATATAAATGTGAACACAAATTACATGCAGTTCAGTTCATTTAAGGATAAGGCTTTTGGATGTATGTGTATCGCTGATAGCTGTTCGTTGCATCTTGCTCTGCGGGTTGTTGTTGCACTGTGTTTACCTGTGCTTAGTAAACTTGTTTGATTTATTTTGGCTTTGTAGAGCCAAGTCTGTGAAGTCTGTCCCCAAAGAGTAGAGACATATTTCTGTCCTCATGTATGGACTCCACTATCAATCTGTTTGTGTGGGCAGAGAGAGCATTTGTTTTCTTTAAAGCTATTTATTGATGTCATTGTGAAAACTGAGCAGCCTATAATAATCAAAACATACTTAAAGGAATATTTTACCCAAAAAATAAATGATGATATTATCATTTACTCTGCCTCATATTGCTTCAAAACTATATAACTCACTTTCCTTTATGAAAAACAAAAAGAAGTAGTTTCACTCAGCATTAGACTTCACTGAATTCCTATGTATGAACTGATTTTTACACAGAGCTGGTTAATTTCTTACTGCAGATTGTATATAGTCTGCTGTTCTTACACTGATCCCATTCATTTGTCATTCATTGATATCATAAAATACCATTCATGCTAGCTAAACTGGAATAGAAATCATTTTCACTCAAAATGGCATGAATTATTAGTCACTTGTCAATACATTTCACAATTAATTAAAAAGAAGCAGTCAGTAGCACTGCTAAAAAAAACACTATTTAAATCTTGATATAAAAGGACTGAAATAGGGATTTATAATAAAATATACTCTAGTGACCTGTTTTATTTACAAAAAATATAGAACTCTTTTTACCAGAGTGTGATGACATATTTCAAAGTTCCTATTATATTTTCTTGATTTTCTTGAATATAATGTGCATGTATACCACTGCACATTATTTTGTGTTTAAATTTCCTAGCATTAAATAAAAGAAATACAACTGCATGACAGTTTCTAATACAGCATCTGATGAATTAACAGCAAATTTGGCATTATTTTTTAATTTAAAGTCAATAACATATATTTTTACATGCTATTAGGGCAAACACAAAAAATATATATATTGTAGTTTCTGTTCACCACAACAGAAGTTTTCGTGAAAAGGGTCTATATTCAATTTAGTGTAATTGAAAAACATGTCTGGATCAACATGAGGGTCAGTAAATGACATTTGTCATTTTTGGGTGAGATGTCCCTTTAAATAAAGCTTCTTGTGATTTGATCAAAGGGTAAAGTGCAGATGTATGTGCATGTCTCATGATGGAATCAGACAGAACAACTCTGTTCTACTCGTCTGTCCGTTTACATCATGCTTACCTCTAGTCTCCATTTTCTGACTGCACTGCACTGTCCTGCCCTGTGCCACAAAATGGCTGTCTCAGCTAATAAACTGGGTTTATGCTAGCAAACTTGGTGGCTGCTGTATTTCTATGTGTGTGCTGGTAAAAGGTAAAATGATAAAAGGAAGCGCCATGAATATGTTTGAGCACACATGGAGTCACTAACCCTGTTTTCTGTCATCTAGGGCTGGAGCACGTCCTGAAGAGGCAGGTGCCGGTGCTGGTGTGATAGCAGGAACAGGACCATGGCCCAACCCCCCTACTGAGGCTGAACAGCTCCAGGCTATGATGGCAGCAGCAAACGGTGAGTCTCAATCTCTTCTAAAAAAATGCATTAGAAAAAGAGAACTAGCCTTTAAGAACCTAGCTTTTAAGAAGAAAAAAAAGCATAAAATATTCATTACAATCTTCACCACAAACATTATTTTGGTTTATCAGCTTTAAAAGCTTTGCTTTAAATGGGCAAGATAATCTAGCGGGTTGAGCTAATAAAGCAACCCGTTCGGGGCAAATCAGCCCACCGGCATGCAAAACACAGCATATGCTGTGTATTTGATACATCAGTCCTCAAGGTCAGATTCTAGTAACTATTATGTAAGAAAAGAGAAAGATGGAGTGAAAAAAGAAAGAGCGAGAGAGAGAAAGAGAGAGAGAGAAGCTACTAGGATACAATGAGTTTCACTATTTATTGACTGTTATAGTCAAACTAATTGAGTGTTAAGAGACAAAAGAACCTTTCTCTCTCTCTCAACAACTGCAGTCAGAATGATAACACTGCACTGTTCTTCTCTGACTAGATGCACTTCATCTTTCTCAGAAACAGAATCTCAAGAGTTTTATCCATATGTTCATTTATGCTAGATGAAGCCGAGCTAGAATTGTATAGATCGGTTTAATTTTAAGTAAAGTTATATATATATTATAGTTGAGGAACACCTTGAGGAACACTTAAAGTATTTTCAGTTACACAACAAAAAGTATTAAGAATCTTCAGAACCTTTTTTTTTTTTTACAATATATTGTTCAATGAATGATATGTTGATGTTTCCTCATGGTAAAATTGCTGGCATTAACATACATTTTTAATACTGAGATGCTTTAAATTATGTCACAGTGGAAAAAAGTCAATTGGAACACAACTTGTCACGTAAATAGTATACTTTCCTGAAAGGAATAGTTTATTCAAAATTGAAAATTGACCATATTACTCACCCTTCAAATGATTTCAAACATTTTTGAGTTTCTTTCTTCTGATAGAAGTTGTTCTGAAGAATGTTGGTAAATGCTTTGGAAATGAATGGCTACATGTTTCTAACATTCTTCAAAATATCTTCTTTGTGTTCAACAGAAGAAAGAAACACACACAGGTTTGAAACAAGTGGACGGTGAGTAAACAATGACAGAATTTTCAGTTTTAGGTGAACTATTTCATTAGTGTGATCTAAATGCAGTGTTTTATTGCATAATTTATTTAAACAACTGTTTTAACTGCAACTAAATTAAATAAAATTAATATTGTATATATATTTTACATTCATTAATTCACATTGTTAAAACTACAGTCTAGTACCTACCATGTGCTTTAGAATTAATCAATACACACAAAAAACAGCACAACATATTTCTAACAGCAATCAACAACACTATTAAAAAAATGTGCAGAATAATTTTTCCATCGTTACAATGTATAGATGTTAAAAGTTAACATACATTTATTACACATACAGCTTGTTTCATTGTGAATTTGTACAGACACAGATTTAGGCTGTGAGGAATAACTGATCTGCATTATTGCTGTAAAAGGACAATTTCACAGTGCATTTTACAAAAACATTTCATTGAGCTCTTTTTGTATACATATGTATTCTGTTCCTCACAGTGCTGCTGAGTATGTGATGTGTGTCGATGTTACGCCATACATAATGCATGGGGGAAGGGCAGGCAGAAGCAGGTCACTGAGGAAGCTGCAATGCGGCTCCTGAGTGACTGAATTATGAGCTCTGTGCCGAACCAACCCATATATAACCTTCCCCATCTCTCTCTCTCTCTCTCTCTCTCTCTCTCTCTCTTTCTATGCTCCTTCTATTTATTCTTTCTCTCTTTCTTTCTTTCTTTCTTTCTTTCTTTCTTTCTTTCTTTCTTTCTTTCTTTCTTTCTTTCTTTCTTTCTTTCTTTCTGTCATCCTACCGTTGCTCTCAGAAGCAAGTGAAGCCACTGCGACTCTTGGCCCTCGCTACAATCTACAGTATGGCCCGGATTACCGTCAGAACGTCTACATCCCAGGCAGCACTGCCACCCTTACAGCCAACCCTCAGCAACAGGTTCTCCAGCAGGCCCTTCCTCCACCACAGGCCCTTCCACCTACCGAAGCCCCCAAAGCGGCTCAAACACCAGCCAGTAAGAAGAAACCCACAAAGAAAGACAAGAAGTAAGACCTGTGGAATAGCTGAAGAAACATGTTGCCGGGAATCTAAACATCTATCCTCTCAAACCATGTTGGGTTTGGATGAAGATTTAAAAAGAAAAAAGTGAATAGTATTACTTGTTTTAGCGTTAACATGAGACAATAAGCAACCAAACAAGAGGAAATGTGTTCAGATTCCCGAAGCCATTTCTCTGACAGATATCTCTGTCTTGTAAATAGCATACTAAAACAAGAAGAAACACATTTCTTCTTTTTATTTTTTCCCTCAAATGTCACGTTTTAGGCTTTTTGTGTTCTTTTCAAAGCAAAGTAGATGCTTATTGTGGATACAAAATGAAACGCTGTTAGGCTTTTTAACATGATGTGCCACAACTCTCACCTTAACTGAAGAAAGGAGTATTGAGCTGAACTATGCATTGCAAAGGAGATACAAAAGGTGAACGTATATATAAAGTGTTTTCCAGGTGAGATAATACATGTATATTTGCGTAAAAAAATCTGACGGTGAGACACTGGATTGTCGGCATGGTGTTTAAAAATAGATTCAGTCTTCTCATTAACTTCTTAATAGCCAGTTAAGCAGAGCTGAATGTTAGGTTAATGACGTTTGACTATTCTTTGTTATTATTTCCTGTTGGCGTGCTAAAGAATCCTCTGGAAATGAAGTAATGTAAACAGTGTTTTTTTGATGCTGAGAAAAGATAATCACAGCCTTTGTAAGGTCAATGATTTGGGTCAAAGGAAGAAGATCTAAAGAAGGAAACAGCAGAAATGTGCTTGAATGGATCTTAGATGGAAGGATTTCATGTCTGTTCATCTGCACCTACCACCACTATCGTGTATATAAAATGTGTAACCTGTCTGTACAAACATTAGAGCCACAAGGGCTGGCTGTTACAGGAATGTTTCAGTATTTTTTACAAAAAAAAGCAACAAAAAAAGACACTAGAAAAAAAAAAGATCCAGTGTAGTGTTTTAGGAATAAAAGCTTCAAGTCCATCGACTAACCAAACTGTACATACTACGAAACTTCTGATGACACGCAATCGTAGCTTAAGGCTTGTGGAGTATGTGCATATTTTTGTGTTTTCCCCCTCTTGATTACACTTTACTTTCCTCTTCTCCAATCACCTAAACCTTTGAAAGATAACAGACAATACTTATACTGTCTTTGCTATAGAGTAACACCCTTTCCTATCTTACTGTACTTTTCTGTGCTTGTAATTCCAATCAGTCCTTAATGATACTGGAATGCCACTCCTGTCTGTTTGACTTTGAATATCTATCTATCTATATATATATAAATGTCTGTCTGCTGCTTGGCTACTTTTTCTGTATTTGACTGTGATTCCTTTAAAGAAACGCTTAGCACCTCATGTTACTCTTTTTATTTTATAATCTACTATTTATATCGCTGTTTGATTTATGTTTTACTTTATTATTGGAACACTTACATTTGAAATAAAATTTTGTCAGAACTCACATTCATGGCTGAGGTGTATTTTTCTTTTAACTGCTTGGTTTGTAGACATGTGACTCCTTTACTAGTGTTTAGCGTATTTAATTTAATTTAATTTAATTTAATTTAATTTAATTTAATTTAATTTAATTTAATTTAATTTAATTTAATTTAATTTAATTTAATTTAATTTAATTTAACTTAATTTAATTTAATTTAATTTATGATAAATTTCAAATTTTTTATCATTTTTATATAATTTATTTTTATTAAAAATGTCATACTATTTCAAAAATATATAATGATGTGTGTGTCTGTGTGTGTGTGTGCATATACATGTACCTAGAGCAATTTGATTTTCTAATTTATCAGCCTAATGTTCATCTCTGCAACTTCAGTGCTCATGACCCATTTTAAGATTCAGTGATTCAGTTGAGAACGGAGAATAAGAATGCTGGCGTCAGAAAGCAAGAGCTCTGCAGAGATTTCATAAGTAGGACATCAGCCCTGTTCTCCAGCATCCACAAATAGCAGAGACATACGTGTGCGGAGGCGTTCCCAATGACACAGAAACACAACTCTTCGCTGTACTATTAGGAAATAGCTAGAAAAAGTCCAGAAAATAGCATAAAAAGACAAAAATCTTATAAAGCTCAACAAGATCCTAAACACCTGCTCATATGAAATTAAACATAAGACATTAGAGATTACTTGGAAAAAAACATTAACTATCAGCCATTCGTATACGTTCAGGGACATTTAGTTTAATTGCAGTTTTGTTCAAATGAATTGTGGGAAAAATTACAGCTCTCATTTTCAGCTTTGGAAATCGCAACTGATCATCACTCAACATCACTCAACATCATACTCTAAATGCCTGTCATATGAAAACATTGTTATTTTCAATATTAAAATAAAATGACTGTACTATCACATTAATAAAGGTATGGGTGCTGTCATTGGGGCAGTGCCTTTTCAAAAGATATATAATTGTACGTAAAGAGTCCACAGGGGTACCTCAAAGGTATATATTAGTATACAAATGTACCTAAAATGTATCTTTGAGGTATGATTATAGACCCTTCAGGTACAAATATGTATCTTTCGAAAAGGTACTACTCCAGTGACAGCACCTGTATTTCTGAGAGTGTAGCAATGCAACTAGTGCAAAAACAGACTGCTGTCTCTAGGTGAACAGGGTAAAATAAAATCGTAACATAAAATAAAATAGTAACAAAAAGTAACATTTTACCTTTTCTAAAAATGTAAATATGCAAATGAAGAGTTATTAATTACACTAATTTGTGTATATTTCTAACACAAAAATCTGAACAATGGATAAAGTCATGTTCAAAATCTTTGCGGTAATTAATATGAATTATTTTATCTTATTGTTTTGGTTTGTTTTATTGTTTTAACAAAGAGGATTTGGGGAATTTCTTTCTATTAAACATATTTAAACATGCACAGTCAGTCAAATCATATATGAAGATGCCCCTTTAGGTAAAAACCTAATAAATATTAAAACTAAAAAGTATGTGGGTATGTAAGTTCAGCTAAAGTATGTAAAAAAACTCATTTTGAGAAAAAGGCATTTAAATATGTTATTGCAATTTAAATCTACAGACAAGAATTGATTATAAGTGACAAAAAAGACTTAAATGTGTATTTAAGTTGTTAAGTTATTAGACTGAAAAGGCACTTTGTGAAAAGCTCAAAATCAAAAATTTGACAGGCATGATTTTTGCCTGCAATGTCTCACCATAAACTGAAGGTCATGCGTTCTCAGATTCACTTGCACAATCACATTATAGATTGTATCGACTACAGTCGAGAACATGGTTAAATTAGATGAGCTACTTTAAAGGCTTAACCCTCCATTTTATTAAAGCAGACCTGCTCTCAGCAAAGCGTTTTCCTTTCCATGAAATGGCCGACAGCTCACACAACTGCAGCAGTTGCCTTGGTGATTGAGAGAAGGACTGCGATATTTTGAGAAAAACAGCAGCATGCAATCACGATCAGTCAGGTGAAATGCACTTGATGCAGCAAAACACAATTCACTAATCATGAGGTGAAATATGCAAGCCTAATTGTCTTTAAAAATAAATCAGTAAATTATGTCACTTTAAAATTTTCAAAACCACAGCAAAAAGCATGAGAAAATATGCAGGACTGAAATAGAGATATTAATAAAATAATGAGGTAAAAATATAATAATAGTAGTAATAATAATAGTTGTTATTAAGACATCCAACATTCAGACTTTTTAGGTCGTATTTCTTTAAACTGGATAAAAAAATCGTATTAAATCTGATAAGAAATTCATAAACAGTGATGTGTTAAAATGGTAAATATAAACCTTAAAATCACACTTTGAATGTTTAAATGGCTATTATTTACATGTGGCTTTCTGCTAACTTTCTAGAGTGTAAGCACAGTCTGTGTAGCCTCATTTTATATGTCATCCACTTGAAGCCTTTAAAGATATAGGAAGCTGTGTGTACATAATCTGTCTAAAATGCCTTATCTGGGAATGATATCATTAATGCAGCGCTTCAGACGGGCATCTTTCCAAGACAGCAGCTGCTTGAGAGCTAAACTCTGCATTTCCTCTGTGCCACGGAGATTATGCAGCCAATCAGCCAGTCGACAAAATCACACTCAGGACTGTTTAAAAGGCTAGTGAATGAGCAGTCAACATATTATACACAGGAAAACTCAGACACATTAGTAGAAATCTTTTCATATCTGCTTAGGAATACAATACAAATTCAATTAGAATTTATACTTCAGTGCTGTTGAATACTTAAGTATGATTTGCTGATGAACATTTAAAGGTGTGTTGTTACTTTCAGAACGCGTTGCTGAGTAGTTCCAGTGAGGTCTTTCAGTGAGAATTTGTTCATATACAGATCAATGGGTCACTTAATTGTTAAATATAGTTAATATTTCCTACAGGAAGTAGTGTTGTTAGAGTGTTGTGGTAAAAAGTGGTGTTGTTGCAATAACTGGTAACACTTAATTTGATGGTTTGTTTGAGTATTAGTAGACTGTCTGCTTAATATTTGTTGATACTGCTCCTTCAACAGACATTTAACTGACTATAAGAAACTTAACAGTCTACTACTAATCTAATGAGAATTAGTTGGCATACAATGCAGCTTAAATTCAACAAATGGACAATCAAAATAAAGTGTGCCCCAGTAATTTTCATGTCAAGCAGCTAAAATGATGGCCTGGTACAGGTTATATACTTTTTAGTAGACATAAAACAATTTTAAATGTCTTAACAGATATTATTGGCAGATATCAGCTTTTAATTCATTACTGATTATTTGTTATTCTATGGCAGAACTTCTAAAGTTGTTTCCCAAACTCTGCATTAAGTGCATTATTATAATATTCTGTGCATATGAACTGTTTAGTTTGTAATTTATATATTTATTTATGTTATTTACCACTTATACATAACAAAATAATCGGTGAGCAATATGAAATGAACAATCCCGAAATTAAATAATTCCTGCTCAAGGCAAGAGTGGTTGAGCTGGGTTTGAATTGGGTTCTCGCCATCTGCAAAAAAACACTGTTTCACAGATCTAGGAAACTGATCTATATGGGATTTCTTTCACAGATGTTTAAATTCAACCAAGTTGTGTTTTTTTGTGTTAACTTTAAAGGGAATCCTGGAAATCAAGACACCACTAACTATCCTTTGGCTTAGTCCCTGACCAATGTGAAATGAACTGCTAATTACTTTGGCATTGTGAAAATATGTAGAAAAAACATTGTGTTTACATTAGAGTGAAAGAAAATCGTTTACACATTTAGGCGGAAATGACAAATCTTCTAAATGCAAATTTCGGCCTTGTTTTGGAGCACATGAGCTTATAGATATCCTTAAAACTTTATTGTAATTTTGCGGGACCTTAAAAGTCTTCAAAACTTTTAGACTGTTTGCTTCTCATCACTGGGAAAGCAGTGAAGACATAAATCACATCTCTTTTTTTTGTTGTTCATCTGAAAATGACAAGCAAAAGCTGCACAAAATGGAATCATATTATTTTTGTATCAACATCAATACTGCCTATACAATAGAAGTCAATGGAGCAATTTTGTCATTGAAAACAATGTCAGCATCCATGGTCCAAAATAAATGTGGATTTTTAGGAATGACATTAACATGTAAAGTTTTTTTTATAAATATTTCATAAAGAGGTGGCATCCACATTATATTAAGGTATATTTGACTTGGCAACCAGACTTCCATTTAACAAAACATTTGAGATGAGATTTGAGACATGATAACACAAAAAGTTCAGTGTACGTTCATCTCTGATTTAACTGTCTGGCAACATTCAGTGGCCTCGTTTTGTCTGTTTAATCAGAGCTGCCTGTTTACCAGAATAAACAAGGTCATTGATCAGAGCCCGCAGACCACGTGGACTTGCCAGTAAATGCCCCACACAAACAGGAGCATCGTTAGGCAGGGCAGATGGTCTTTTCAGCTGCCATTAGACAGTGCCATTGGTCATTCCATAAGGGAAAGGTCAATTCCTTTTAAAACACTGTAGACAATTACTTGCAATAGGTCAGCTGACCAGCAATGTCTTTCATATCTAGCAGTTTGATAGTTTAAAGTCATGTAAAGTTTAAAAAATTAATTTACTCACTGTCAGTGGGTTATAATGTATTCCTCAAAAGAACTGGTTCACACTCTTAAAAATAAGAATTTCTATAAAATCCTGGGTTCAAACCAGCTTATTGGTTGGCAGACAAATAAGATCGGAAATTGGTGGGTGACTCTACTTTCAGCTATAGGAAGCAGAACTAAAGCCAAAGGTGCGTTTTCCAAAACTATTGTTTGCAAACTAAGATCACAAGTTCCATTGTCACAAACCTAATTGACGATTGCGCAGCGGTTCCAACAAACATTCACAAATATCGTCACAAACTTGTGTGCTTTGAACACAACATATTTTATTTTGGAACAGTAAATAATAAAATAAATAATTCACA